TAAACCATTCATAAAAAAGGCAAGCTTAGATACAGCCTTAACAGGTGTGGAAATTAAAATTATTCTTTCCTATGTAGCATCAGCAACTATCAATGCACTCTGATATCCTCAATAAGAAAATGAATATGGCTAAGGCTTAGATTCATTATTTACTCTTTATTTCTCTCTCAGAAAACACTTAAAAATAACTTAATATATTGAAATGTAATTTTGCAGTGGTCTTTTGTTCACTTGTTCATCTTTCTCCGGGGATCTTACCCACAAGAATCCTTTTATCTACTACACTAAACCTTGGTTTGAGAGCACTATTTGTTCAGGAAACATGCTTGTAATGCACTTGTATATCAAGGTGAATTTGCCCTTAAGAAATAATGAAAACTCAGATGATTCATTTCATAACCCAAAAATATTCGTAGAAGATGATTACAACACTGTAAGACAATACACAATAATGAAGAAAGTACAAGATATGAAGAAAAATGAGTTAAACTGGATTTACCTTTGAAAACGCTCATGTCCTTTGTGAGGGAGACAAGAAATATTATTGTGTGGGATGAGTTTCATTAACACTAACAGAATCACTGCCCTTTTGCCTCTATGAATCTTTTCCTTTTCATGTAGTTTTAACAAGGAATCTATCCAATGACACTTACTTTTGCCTCCTTTTGAGGATTTTGCAAAAATATGACATTTCATTGTCATTAAACAGATTCATTGCTTGCACTGCTACAGTCTTATTTGGGAGGTGCTTTTCTATAAAATTTTGCATGATTTCTCACATTTTACAAATTTGAAGGGAAATATTCCTCCGTCTTTTTCTTCTCTACCTCTGCAGACCAGATGTTCCCCATAACCTCTGCTGTTGGAAGATAAATACAACCGGCGGTGGGGGAAGACCATTGGCTCAGTTGTGATCATGTGAGATTTGGCCATGCTCTACTCATACTGCAAGACATAGTTTGTTTAAGTTAAAACTTATTAGAAATTTTGCGGCCTTAGAGTGCACTCACAGATCTAGTTACTCACAGTCCAAGATTTTACTGTTCTCTTCCAAGGCAGGTTTTCTGTAGTGAAGTTCCAAGCCCATATTTTCAACTTCTTAAGCAATATTTTTACAGTTATATGAAACTGTTTGGGACTTAACAAGTCAAAAATTGTATTCACCACATTATAACCTAAACCCACATTTTTTTTTAACCTTTGGACCCACTGTACTTCTTTTTTTTTCTGGATAGTACCACAACCACTCAGATCTCCAACTCAGAAATTTGGGGGTAACTGTAAATGCTTCTGTTTCCTTCATGTCATCCAATTCATTTCCAAGTCCTGTCTTCCCAGTTCTTTTTACTATCTTTCAATCCTGTCTTTTGTTCTCTCTTACAACTAGATTTCTTTATTTCAGATCTGCTTTAACTCTTACCCATAATGGTTTTTTTAAAAACTGATTCCTCTAACCCTAATCTATCAGGTTATGTGCCACATAATTGGTACAATAATATCTCTAAGATGTGAACTTTATTAACACTTGCTTTAAAATAATTCAATGGTTTGTTTTCATTTAAACAAAAGTTCAGTATGTTAGGTAGCTTGGAAGGGTGCTGAGGACCTCTCTGTTTATGCATTTCCATTTTAGTCAACCTGAAGAGATAACTGCCATCCAGCTTTCTACAAATTCTTGTTTCCTGAGTGAGGCATTCTGTCTTCTACCTTTGATTCATTTCAGATACTATTTCTTACCTGGAATATCTTTACTTACCTTGTCAACTTTCTTAAATAATTGGTGTAAAAATTTCAAAATTTATCTTTCTTTAGAGTTTTTTTTTTTTCAATTTTTTGATCAATAAGATGTCTATAAAAAAATTCTGTGCTTCTCTTGCTAGGTTACTGCAGTTCTAAAATGTCTCCTACAACTACCAAAATTCTTTGGGTGTGACATTTGTAATTTGTTTAGTCTTTATATTCCCAGAGGATAGTGTAACACTTGATAAATGGGGGACTCAAAAAAGTGTTTTATTATTGTAAAATTATATGAAATACATGGAAGGAATCAATTTGTTTTTCTTTGTTTTTTTGTTTTTTTTCCAGTACCAGGAATCAAACTCACGACCTCACGCTTGCCAGGCAGGCGCTGTCCCCCTGAGCTAAATCCCCAGCTCTGGAAGGAGTTCACTTGTGATGAAATTATGAAGTATAATTCAAAAGACTTGACAGTAAGTAATGATTTATTCTTCACTGATAGAAAATATTTTTTGAAGTTCTTCAAAGAAAGTATATAACCATTGAATAATTAATAATTTTAAGTAGTATTGAATCAAATTCAGAATTGTTATACTGCTTTGTTAAGAAAATGAAACATTAATTCATTACATGAAATAGACTAAGATTCAAGTGTCTCTTGAAATGCTATATAATTTCTACTAGATTAATTTGTGTATAAAAGGGAAATAAAGGTAGTTTCATATCACTAAATGGAAGATAATGTTGAAGCAAATTTTTAAGATAAATTATCAACATCATTCTTCTAAAATTCTTCTAACAAGTGAATTAAGGAATCCAATTCTTCAAGTGTGTGATATTTTATTACACTCAGGAAAATATGGTACATTATTTTAAGGTCTTGTTAAATTTTATAAATGGCATCTACAGGAACACAGAAATCAAGCTTGTATTTTTTCCTCAATTTTGAAGGTTGATACATTGAAGGAAATTTATTACCATGGTTTCAGTTGAAGTTTTATTTCTATCAAACTTAATTCTCTGTAACGTAGCTCCCAAAGTAAGTAATAAGGAAAATATTTGAACAATTCAAATTAATGTCCCAAAATTGAGACAATAATTCCTTTCACTTAAATTAATTTGCCTGAAAAATATAATTTAGTCCTAAGAATTATCACACAGCTATGAAGGAAATTCAGAGAGAGAGCCAGAGAGCCAGAGGAGGAGGGTGGGAGACAGAGAGAGAAAGACAGAGGGGGAGAGGGATTGAAAGAAATTGTGATTACTTGCATATATATGTATTTGTGCATAAATATCTTGGTTTTGTTTATAGTTTTCATAAATACACCCTTACCAATTCAGAGAGTTCTTTAATCCTGAATAATGCCAATTAAATTAAAAAATTTGTCTTTTCTCTTTACATTGTGTACATAGACTTTGAAATGCATAGAAGTGAAATTCAACTCAAGGATCAGGCAGTTTAAATGCCTCTTCTCAGTTGAATAGATTCATTATGCTGGAATTGGAAGGAGGTGGAAAGTCATAATGGTTTTTATTATTTTTTTAGGCCTTTTGATTTGATAGGCTCTAGATTTTTATCACAAAATTTGATACAAGAGGCCACTGAACTTCATGGTGCACTATGTGAAATAGCATACGTGTTTTCTTTTTCCATGCCTCATTTTTCTGCATTCCTAGTGTATGATAAATCCTGTTCTCCGTTCACAGGTATGTGGAATATTTTGGGTCATGCCCAAGAATTTAACAGTCTAGAAGGGACAACAGTGTTTAAAAGGGCCTCTTCATCAGAAAATCTCTGACATTTCACAATCAGAGAAAATGAAAGTTATTTTCATTCAAAGGAAATTACATGACATTACATTTTTATTTATCTGAAAGTTACATTATTAATACTTTTATTTGTCTATCTTGTCCTTTAATTGTATGAAGACAAATAAATTTTGCAGTTTTCCACTAAAATATCTCATTAATTACACACATACAAATACACAGATATATAATATTTGAACATATGAGAGCTGGGCTTTCATATTTATTGAAGGCAATATTTCAGTTTAACTAATATTTTACTTAAGATTACCAATGATAAATGTTGTTATGATAAACCATTTGTTCCAACTGTAGAATGGTAGTTTCTGCTCTTTTTAATAATGGCAAGAAGTGCAATTTTTGTGATGTTTATTTTACATAAAATTTATTTGAATATTCTACCTATGTAATTTGACACATTTTGAGGAAAAAACATTAAGTAAGCTGGAAATCATTTATATAAATGAATAATTCTATCATCTTTATAAAGCCTGTCTGGTAAATTAGTGGACATAAAAATATTTCCATTAGTTTTGCATAACCCTCAAGTGCAGAAATAACCTAAAACTTGAAGGGCAGGGAGATTTATCTGAATAAATTAAAGATACTAAAAGTTAGGAGAGCGCACACTGGAGTTACGGTGTGAGAAAAGACATGTACAATGAAGACATCATTCTATGCGGCAGCATATTTGAGCTCAGGTTTTAAAATATGATATAACATTAAGTGCAGAAAATTAGAGCATAAAGTTGCATGTAATAAAAAGATATATGTATTAAAAATTCAGAGTGCAAAAGGAGGCATACAAACAAGTGTAAGCCATTGTGGAGTAAAATTAAATTTTGGATTTTCAAGTTAGTGCTTCCTGAAAATATTATACCAGTTTTGTGCTATTCAGAGAATACTATCAATGAATGCAAGACTCTTTCTAATTTGGATATAGTTTACTGACTGTCACTATTTCTCAATTTTGTCATTTTTAAAAAGGAAATAATAATTTCAACATCAATAATTTTGAGAAATAATGCAATAATATATTGACAACTTTTAATAAAATGCCTAGTACAGTGTTACAACTCAGTAAATGATGTTATTATTTTGTGTTTAATTTTGAAAACAGAATTGGCTATATCTGAATAACTATGACTTCTTAAATGTTTATTCACATTTAGAGATAAAACAAATTATTGTTTGGATGCAAGTACAGATTATTTGTGTGGCTGTGTTGTGTTTTTAGATCACCAATGATTTTATCTGTATATGTTTATGTGGGTACAAATTAATGCAAAAATATGACTTACTCTGTATCAGTTAGGTTTCTCTGGAGAAGTAGAATCAGTAGAAAATATGTATACAATTATGTAAAGTTTATTAGGTAGGCTAGAGGATCAGAGATAGAAGATGCCTCCATGACCATCTGAGGGGTGATAGGAAGGAGAACACAAACTGCCTACCTGTATGCTGGAGATCCAGAGAGTCCAGTAGCTGCTCAGGTCAAGAGGATGGAATAAAACAACACAAGTGGAATCAAGGATGCAGGACCAAGTCCAATCCAAGCCCTGGAAACTCAGAGAGGAGTCACTGGTGTAAGTCTCTGTTGGAAGTTTGAAGATACTGCACACAAATATCCAAAGGTGATGATGGCAAAAGATATACATGCTCCAGGAGACCAGAGGAGCTCCTCTTCTTTCTCTTTCTTATTTAAATGAGGTTACAAGTCTATTGTTTGGTGTAACCCATACATGATATGGGTCTCCCACCCACTTTGCTGGCTCACACGTCAGTGATCCACCCCTCATCAACTTGACAACCAGACACACCTTCTTCAACCATACTAAATTTCCAAATACAGTAGCAAGTTCATGTTTACACCAATGGGCACAACTATCCTGCATACAAACAGAAACACACTAATTTCTGATTTCCTGCACCAGAAAAGAAGGCAGAGTTTTTCTTTAGGTGATGTTTACTCTTCTCCTGACAATTCCATAACTTCAATATTACAATGTAGATCTTTTTATCTTTTATTTTATTAGTACCAATGTATAATACATACTATTTACATTCCTTGTGGGACATAAGTACATTCATGTAACACATATTAATTTCTTTTTTAAAATCCCTTTACTCTTCCCTACCTCTCCTTCTTCTGTTCCTTTGATCTCTTTTTTTGTACACGTGTATAGCATAGCCCAGTTCCTTTTTTATTCAGTCATTTCCTTCCTTCCCCCTCAAATGTAGATTTATAATAATTAAATATTGATATTAAATCAATGGTAGATTACAAAGAAAAAAGATATCTGCTCAATATAGGTTTGGATATATACAAGTATATTTACAAAATAAGAAATACTCCTGACCATTACGGTCCTTGTTTCTGTAACTGGTCACATAGTTGAATGTGATACTCTTAACTGCCTTCTTCTGCTACCCACTCTGTATTCTTTTGGACATCAGCAGGTTTTGGTTTTGTAATTGGCAGGGTGACTCATGCTTCATTCTTGAAGGTTCTGGGCCATTTGTCAACATGTCTAGATTGTGTTGTTTTAGTTTCTTATTGATTTTAATAAAAGGGCATAGTAATAGAAAAAAATGTGCAAAGGAACCTTCTGAATACCAAATATATTCTTCCTTAACACTTACAAAGTAGTTTAATTTCTTCTTGGTAGTCTTGATCAATCACCCCCTCCAACACTGTAACTCCCTCTTCCCTCTGAGTTTGTTAACTTAGGGGCAGTAGGAGCCCATAGTGCTTGTTGGGAATCTTAGCTTCCAGTTCAGTAGAATCGTTGTTGTGCCTGCTAGTAGAAGTCTTCCTCTCTCTGGAACTAAGACTTCTAGACCAGCAGGCATAAGGTTGCAGGAACTAAAAGCAAACTTTTGCCAGTGGGTCACCAAGGATAATGGTGGTGGTATCAATCCCATTTCTACCTATTGACTCGTGGGCCCTTGAGTCTTGGTTATGGGAGAAACAGTACCATATATTCGTTGCTGATTGAAAGCATGCAGCTGTGATCCAGCTTCCTAAATTATTGCTAAAGACCTGGGGCAGTAACTGCATTTTTGAAACGTCATTCCATCATTCTGTCAGTCTGTCTGCATTTGGATGGTGGGGAGCATGGTAAGACCATTGAATTGCATGAGCACGCACCCACTGCTGCTCTTTGCCTTTGAAGTGTGCCTCTTTGTCAGAAGCAATGCTGTGTGGAATATGATGAGGGTGAAACAGACATTCTGTAAGTTCTTGGAAGGTAGTTTGGAAGAAGCTTTGGTGTGCAAGGAAGGCAAACCCATAATATGAATAAGTTTCTATTCCAGCAAAAATTTATTATGCTTGCTGTCAATTTACTGTAGGAGAATATCATGATTAATTAGCCAGCATCATAGGTCTTCACGTGTCAGACCATTCTGATCATGCTTTGCCTTTGCTGTTCATTATGGTAAGTATATCCACCTTTATGTGATTGAATGCTGGCACCTTCTGCCTACCACCTTGGGATCCAATTATACCTGTCATATTTAAGTTTCTCAATTAAGTAACTATGTCTCCACTATAAGTTTGGCATATAGAGTCAAGAGCAATGACAAACCTCCTCAAGGATGATGGTGGTCCCCTAGCAAATATGTTTCTTATTATATTAATGAGGGCTATATTTTCTGGATCATCCCAGTGATTCAGAATACATTTTACTTGAAAAAAATCCACTCTAGCATTCTCATTTGCCTGAGCCTTTGAATTCCCTCATTAACAGTAAATCAAAGAATCTGAGGCATGTCCAGCTGGCCATTTTTAATTCATTCTTCAACCAACCAGTCAAATAAATAGAACCTTTAAAAACTCCACAAGCTGCAATACTAATTCTAGAATCTTTGCTGAGTGGACTGAAATTCAGCCTGATAGACTACTGTGTCACTTTTACCCATTATACAACACCATTGAAATGCATTCCAATGCCTGTTCCCAAGAAAGCTGCTTGTAAGAATTAGAATGTTCAAGAAGTTTTATGGCACTGTAGTGTACTGCCTCATGGGTCACTATACATACCTTACCTTTACTTAGAAGACTTCTGAGATTTGAACCTGATCACAGACCCAGAGGCAGAAGCAGGTGGTGAGAGCAGGTTCTGCGAAGTTTTGTTGTTGTCATGTTTAGTGTCATTCTCTATAAACAACTCAAAATTGGTTTTCTCAGGCAGAAATGGACAGGCCAACACCACAGTGCATGAGGGAACAGATGCCTCTGACACTGTGTGAGGAAATATCTTCCTTGGGCAAAATAATCTAATTAGAATTACGAGTTCAATACACTTGGATGTGGCAGGTTCTTTCCATCCCAGTTCATGAGATCACATGCTCCCTCACTTCAGCTGGACATGTTCTCCGAGATGGAGCATCAAACTTGTGCTGTAATTCAGCCAGAGGCTTTATGAGGGCTGTGTTGGGTTTTCAGCAGCTTCAGCCCTAGGGTAAAAGAGAGAAGATTCTCCTTCAGAACACTGCAGCCTTTAGATTGTTTATGCACGTTGCACATTTGGAGTTGAGAATTGGAATGCTTGCCCTTACTGCTTTCCTTTATTACTTTGTACAGTGATGCTAAGAGCAAACGACTACCAGAACTTTGCTCACTACCCCAAATGCCTCTCCTCCTCCCTGCTGTCTCACTGCCACGCCTGTTTTGCTGTCGTGGATAGTCTCATTATTCTCCAGGCCAGTTATCTCTGAAGTTCTCTTGTCTCCCTTCATTCCAAAATTATTTTGGAAAACATACAACGTATTGCTCTCTGAACTAAACTCCATTTCTGTCAGATGAAGTTTAAATTTATAACACAGCTTACAAAATCTTCTGCCATTTAGCCTCTAGCTATCTGACAGCATTTTTAGTTCTCCCTCTGCCCTGAACAGCAATGATTTCAGCTTTATCTTATTTTACTGATTCATGAAATAAGTCATTCTTTTCCAGTTCTTCTTGACACTCAAAATAAAGTTAAATTTTTATATCACAGCATTGCACACTCATCCACTAACTTTACTGAAGCAAGATACCTGTACTTATCCTTTCTAGCTTTGATATATTCTAATTTTTAAAACTTTTTGTATTTACAAAGAAAAATCCTCACCTCAAAATCCTAAAGTAGAAAAAAAAAAAAATCCTGCGCAACTGATTCACTATGTTGACTTCATGACCCTTTAATGAATCAGGACCTGTAGTGTGGAAAACGCTGGCGTTTGCAGTGGTCAATACTTTATGTTGTAGAGACGACAAAATGGATTCCCATCCTGAGTCACCCATTAATTAACTTGATCTCTAGATCTGAGTTTCTTTGTCTAAACTGATGCACAGATATAGCATTTTCTTTATAATGTTGATGTGAAGAACAAATGCCAAAATGCTTAGAGCAGGGTTGAAGAATGACAAAATGATTATTAATAATGTGTGCTGCAAGGCAGACATTTGTGCTAAAATGCTCTTTCCCAGTATTCTATACTTACGTTTATGGCTAATTCCACCCCTATTCTTTACGTTTTACATCTGGAATACTGTGTTTGACTTTGCAGGCCGAGAGTCCTAACTCAGTTGCCTTCAGGGTCTAAGTAAAAAATTTAAATTTTGAAGTCATTCCATCTGATACAATGGATTGGACACATCTGGAACACAGTGAAAACCTGGACCAGCTTTTAAATACACAATCCCACACTCGCGAGTAAGTATGCCAATGTGAAGTTTTTACTTGGCTCTGGATCCCATTTCTATAGCTTTGCATCTAAAAACCTGTACTCTGTTTTTCACAAAACTCACCCATATTTCAAATATTTGTGCACCACCTGGCTCTCTCCACAGGTTACACAACCATGATGCATAACACTGTCACTACCTTCTACTGTGTGCTCCTACTTTGCATATGGTATTTCTGAATGGAACACACCAAGTGGAAGGAAGTACCTTGCTTAGTGTCCTAATGTGAGCCTGGTTTGTGGTTAATGTGAATAATAAACTTCTTTTTTGAAAAATATGTCTGGTATCAAACTGTCTAAGCTTGTAAAAGCTTGAGATTCAAGGACAATGGGTTAAACTGTGGGACTATTAAAGAGCATGATGTGGATGATAACTATGGCCATGGTCATTAGTGCATTCATTAACACTATCACTCTCTGGTTGCCATTTGAACGGGTCTATACTTAACCTTGGAAACAGATTCTAGGATCCTATCTGTTTTTGTGAAATCCCTTTGGGAGATTAAGTGTTCAAATAGCATCGGTGAATTCAGCAAACTTGGTGCTGAAAACAGTGATAGCAACAGAAAGTGGCATTGTTTGCCATGCCATAATGATGTATTCTTTTGCCTCAGCCACTGGCAGGCTTGGAGCAGGGCCCACGGCAAAGGTGTCAGTGTGGGGAGGAAACTGATGGTCTCTAACGTGGCCATTGCAGCATAGACCAAAGCAGGAGCTGTCAATTTTATGGGATCTCCCTGGTTACCCAGGTTCTGTGTTTGGGAATATTTATGAGACTTCTCAAACAGCCTCAGAGAACAGCTGGGGAGGTTTTAAGTATTTAAGTTGCACTGAAATCTTCAAAAATGTGGATGAGGGTATAGCAGAATAAACATAGTTTGGAAACACATTGAGATCTGAGTTTTCTTCTCAGGTTGGAAAAA